AAAGATGACAAACTTTTCAGCAGGGCCTGTTGTGACAGGACAAGGGGGCACGGCTTTAAACTAAAGGGGGGGAGATTTAGACTAGATAGAAGGAAGAAATTCTTTACGCTGAGGGTGGTGAAGCACTGGCACAGGTTGCCCAGAGAGGTGGTGGCTGCCCCATCCCTGGAAACCTTCCAGGTCAGGCTGGACGGGGCTCTGAGCAACCTGATGTAGTTGAAGATGTCCCTGCCCATGGCAGGGGGTTGGACTAGATGACCTTTAGAGGTCACTTCCAACCCAAACTATGCTATGATTCTATGTAGGTAGTTCATTTAAAAAAAAAAAAAAAAAATCCTTTCTAGCTAACTCATGCAGGAGGTGAAATAAACTCCAGGTTTACAAATCATGCAGATTACTCTGGTTACATTCGTTGTAAGAATGATGAATTCCAGATTTCTTCTGAGGAAAGATGGCTACTAGTCCTTGAGTAGTTATTTTCTTCTTCCTTCATCACTGTTCTTTATAATCAGCACTTAAAATGAATACTTACTAAGAAAGAACTAACCTTCTTCAGTGTAACTCTCCATAAGAGTAATACCACCTATTCCTTCATGGATAGTCATTCAACACAATAGTAATTTGAAACAAATTTTGAAACTGTAATGTTGGTAGACTGGAAGACCTACTAAACAACTAAAAACCTGTTGTGAATGTTGTAATTTCCATTTTTCGAAAGTTGAAAAAGTATGAAGGATAAGTTTGTAGACTTGCTTTTGCATCAGATTTGCTTTCAGTCATAGTTTACAGTACAGATGTAAGAAGTGTAGGGTGGGGAAAATGATTGTGATTTAGTCTGATACAGTAACATACAGAATCTTCCTGAATTACATCTTGTCTTAGACCGTACTGTCACCTATATTAAAAAACAAAATCACCTTATTTCTAAAAGTTTCAAATTTAGGTGAGCTATTCCAATACCTTTCCCACACGATTAAAATGGTACACGATTAAAAATCCCACATGAATAAAATTTAAAAAGTAAAATTAAATTTTTAATTTAAATATTAAAAACCAAGGTGTACCTTGTTTCTAGTCTGATGCTGTCTGGCTTCTTTACATAGAACAGTATTCAAGGAACTTGCTTTTTCTCTTAGTGGGCAGTGACGAAGTGGGGGTCCCAACAGATGATTTTCACTGCTGTCTTGTTCTTGTATCTAATCTAGGTATGCTCTAATCATACCGTCACTGTGCACGCTCATAGCAGCTTGCTGGCCAGAGCTCTCAGTGAGGTTATCTGTTATCCATGTGGGAATACCTGGATATATACTTGAAATACCTGCTCTTTGATTCGCAGTCAGGTCCCAAACCCAGACCTGCCACCTGCTGTTTCTAAAAGTAAGGGTCAGTGTCTTCTGCTGAGAGCTTGAGATAAAATCCTGCCTGCAGAGAGCTTTCCTGGAGGGACATGAAGAGCCTTGGAGTGTTACTCACAGAAGAGAACAAGCAGAGAATTGCGCTGTCCCTTGGAAATTAATTCTGGACTGACTTCTGGTCCAGAGGAAAATGCCTACTTATGCTTGGCAATCTTTCTCTTTCAACTTCCCCCAACGTTAAGAGAAATCTGATGGAAAAACTGGATCTAGGCAAAGATCACCGCTCCACGTTTGCCAAGCAGCTAGAGGAGGGGTAGGTGAAGGGAAACTGTTCTCACTACTTTTTTTAAAGCGGGGCTCTGATTCCAGTCGCCAGCATCCTCTAAAGAAGCGTTCAGATAATCAAGACAATTGGCTGTTCTGACTCTTTAGAGTTTCTTCTGTTAGTAGATTTATGAGTACAGAATAAGTATGCAATGAAATATGCAGTAGGGAAGGTACAAACCAGACAAGTGGACTTCTTCCCCTCTCAGCTCTTTTGCATTTTTGGGGACCATGTACCTCTTTCTGCCCTCCACTATCTAATGCTGGGCTTTCACTAAGCCAGAGGTGAGAGCTTGGGAACCAGCACAGTCGAGCAGCTTCAGGATATAAGCAAGAGTTCCTAAAGTTTTGCGAGAGGATATCTAGAGGCTTTTGCTGTCTTCATGTTAGAAAGCCGTCTCAAAGTAGTTGACAGCCTCGCAGCAGTTCCTGAAGTAGCTTAACATGCTGGCTTACCTGTAGATACAGCGGTTGTGAGGGGTATCTCTGAGCAGAGCTTTGTGCAGCTGCTACCACTGCCAAGTCACGGCAGAGTTATAAACAGTAAAGTTCCGATGACGGGTAATTAGACTCTCAAAACTCCTTGTCACAGAAGTAGAAGAATTCCAGGGAGCAGGAAGGTCTGGGGGTAAAAAAAAAAAAAAGGGGGGGAGAACCCCTGCCTATACAAACATTTTGTAGAGCTGTCTTGAAAAACTGTTCGCTGAAATGAGAGACTTTAAGGTTTTACGACACTGCAGCATAGCCACAGCAGGGGGGGAGGTGTAACCTTAGTACAGAGTGAGCCCAGATACTTCCAGTGCTTCCTGAAGGAAACAAAAGCTAGAGCTTTAGCAAACAAGCCATCTGCTTAAATGTTTGGGGACGCAAAATTTTTTCTTCAGGTAATCAGAAACTGTAAGGACATTATGTAGTGGAGAAGTTATTTTTGAGAAGAAAATTGTTAAGAGCTTTTGCTGTAAGGTGTTTTTAAATAGAACTGCAATCTGATGTTGCAGTTCATGCGGTTTCATACATGTGTATTTCCCCTCACCATCCTTAACAGACTCACAGCAGGGAGACATTCAAAGCAAACTTTAACCTGACTGCTGCTACTTCTCTGTTCCCACATTTGTCAGTTTTCAGGCATTGGGCACTCGATACTTACTGCGACTTCATTGTAGCTTCCCCTTACATACTTGCTGGTCACTTCTCCATCGCTTTTACGATTCACCTATGAACTAATCTGTCTGGAAAGCTGCAATGGGGAATGGGCTTTGTAGCCTACCTGGGGTGTCCCAGGGGCCCCCCTTCAGCTATGCCCCCCAGAATACTGAGAGCGATACCACTGGACTCACATACAGGAGATGGACAACTGAAAAAGGGTGAAGAGGTGTGCAGAGCCTGTCTAAAAATCTAAGAGACTGCTAGGGTTATACGGCAGTCACGCTTCATGTTAAACTGGTGCCCACAATGCCACCAGAGAGGGCAGGGAAAAACAGCAAAAAAGTCAGAAGAGCAAAAAAGGTTTATCTAAGTTTGTTATTTTTCAGTATGTCTCCCAAATAAAGAGGAAGGTATCGAATTACAGGAATGTTAGAAAGAGGCAGGAAATGAAAAACACCCATAATCATCTTAATTAGCTTACCACACCTCTGCTTGACTAATGTCCTGATGCAATTAAGGTATTCCAAGGTAACCTTTTTTTTGTAAACAGAAGAAAGGTTTTTTCCCCACCCAGCATGGGCATTCTCCCGTGCTTGCTGTTGAACAGTGATAAAAAGTGTCTTTAGCTCAGCGGTGCAGGGCTTTCGGAGAAAGCAGCAGGAACCCAGGCGGCTTTGCCTGGTGCTGCGTGCAGTTTTCTAGCTTGGTCTACGGTCCAATACCTATACAATAAGGGTGTAAGTGCTGTCGAGAGTCGCAAGCAAATGCTGCGGCACAATATGTGATGAAATGGACTTCAAAGTGGTGGGAACTGAAACTTGTTTAGCTAGAGGGACTGGTTTTGTACATCACTGTGTTGGTTGGTGAACGGATTTGTGTGGCCTGCCTCGCCGCACTGCTCGTGGCATATGATGGATGGGTCGCTGACGTGTGCCGGCTCACAGCCGGGGCGGCAATGGAGACTCCCGGGTTAGATGCCCCTCTTCAGGGGAGAGTGCACGGTGGTGGGAGAGGAAAAGGGCTTGGAGTTACAGGGCAGAGGGAAGACTGGCTGAAAGGCTGCTGCAGGCGGGTGTAAAAGATGCAGCGATAAGGGAGCAGGAGCAGAGGTGGGGAGGTGGTCAGTACCAGCTGGTAGCAACTGGGCACCCACCTATACTGTACTGTGAACTGGGACAGCTGCTGGGTTGCAACTGCTGTTTGCCAATACTAATCCCAGTGGGGAGACAAGCTCCTGCACTGCAGCGTATGGAGTAAAAGCACTAGGTGCTTGGTTGTGCCACCCAAGAGGAGATGTTTCAGCTTGGGAAGAGATACACAGAAGCACAGAAAGGTTGTCTAGGCAGGCTGTGAAACACCAGGGGGTAGAAAACACACGGAGGAGGGGAAGGATTAAGTGTCATAGGAGCTGGTAACTCTTTTGAGAAGCCAGAGACTTAGGAGAGGAAGATTGAAGAGATAAGGGACACAGGGATGAGGAAGCAGAAGTATTCTGGTGAAGG